ATAGCAGGACTAATAAATGTGGCCCAATAGCATTTGCATAACTGCAGTTTGTAAGACTTGATTGGTATAAAATGAGATTATTTAATCAGTCACTCTAAAAAGGCTGTGTTAAAATTATGAGCTATTAAAGTCTTGTATTGACTTCCATTTGTAGCCTGTGTAAATGCTCACCTACTGAAAAACAGTTATGTTAATTCTCAAGGTAGTATTGTCTTGACTGCCTCTAACTGGATCAGGAGCAAACCTTTTTTGTAAGATGGAACTTTAATTTACTCAATTTTTATCTGTTGCAGAGTATTTTACTTATGAGAACACTTAGGGTGTTGTTGACCACTCAAAATCATTTAGGTTTTGAAACCGCAATTTGAAATGTGATTGTTTTGTAATCTCAATTAGAAAAGTAGATTAGGATCTCAGCATTAATGTTGTATCTAGAGAGCTCTGAGGCTGGAGTGATTTAGAAAGCTTGATAGAATTAATTATGCTATATACTGCAATAATAGAGTAAAACACTTCTTAAGAGAAACCCTGTGTCTAGGAAGAAATGTCAAAGGGCATTTTGTGGTTTTCATTTGTTCTATTCTAACATATGTAGCTGAGGAATAAGATTTTACCTAACAGACTTCTAGTAATGCAGGGAGCAGTCTGACTCTTTAAACCACGTCCTGGGAAACCTTGCAGATCTCTCACCTGGTGGTGAAAAGGACTGAAGTTCTCTCAAGCAGAATTTGCCAAGGCTCGTAACAAAATTTAATGGATGAGGTGTCTTTTATTCCTTCATTTATTCCTGTTCATTTATAACCAACAAGTGTATCTAACCTTTCTAATTGTTTTTCTTAGGGTGGTGAGCATGCTCGAAGGTCCTCTCTTCTTAACAGTGATGAACTGTTGATTTACTACTATGATGATGTGAGAACAGCTTATGATATCTTCCAAAGGGGTTTGCAAGTATCAAGTAAGTCTAAAACTAAATATAGTTTGGTGTTTTGTTTTGTTTTTTCAACAATATGTCAAGAACTAAAGGTCTGGGCACTCTTGAATTGCACTTGGGGATAGGGTATGTCTACCTAGCAATATGATAAATGTGTTGGATGTAAGCTTTCTTGAAGGCAAATTTAACTGTGACCTTTTGTGAAGCAGAGTTATGTGAATAAAGTCAGTGCTGTGTTCCTTAGCCTAAACAAACCTTGTTGCCTCTGTGTGCTTCCCCAGCTTCCCTCCCTGTCCCTCTATTAGAAAAAGTCTTCTGAAGGTGTCCGCAAAGAATCTAGAGGCTTAACTCCAAGAGCGTAGTTAGTGTAATGTCAGGACAGAGGAGTCGGGAATTAAATTTTGAGTAACTTTTGGTTATTGTTTTTAGATAATGGTCCATGTCTAGGTGTTAGAAAACCAAACCAGCCATATGAGTGGATCTCCTATAAAGAGGTAAGTAGTCTCTCTAACTTAGTGCTAGACCTGCTTTTGCTTGCTGAGACCATGGATACAGCATCCAGTAATGTGATATAACAGATCTTAATTATTTATTTAGAGATGCTTTAAAGTAGTAGCAAGGTATTGCAGAAAGGTTCCAGTTCCTGTTAGTGTATCTTAAAGGAACAGCCTCAAATATGTGAAAGGGAGAGAAGAGTATCTCCTGCACTTACTTGGTTTATTAACAGTTTTATTTCTGAATTTTTTTAGGTTATCTTGGCAGCTTTTAGCATCTCGCTGATTAATTGTTTCGAACTTGGCCACCGCCTCTGAAGGGCTGCAGCTTTGCAGTAGTATTCAGGGACCCTGACTGCTAATACTTTAGGTGCTTGTGTCAGAGAGGCTGATTTTATACTAGGAAAAGTCCTATCTACAAACGTTACTTGTGTTTCTTGACTTGTCTCCATAGTGCTGAATGATGGCTGTATAGGCTGTTAACAGATATGCTTCTAACTAGTAGCATGCTCCTTTGTGATTGCTAAAAATATCTTTATGCAAATCTTTAACAGCTGTTCACTTCTTGCTCATTCATGATTTAATCAGTTATTGTCTTCAAGTTTGCCTAAGCCTTGCCTGTTGCATACTGTTAAGGTCATTAAACACCCTTTGTATGCAGCAGACCTCACTTTTTCCAAGGTGATTTTGCTGGGCCCTTGTTAGGTGCAATCTCTCTTTAATAAAACTTTTCTGTTTGTCATGTGACTAACATGGGTTCAGGTCATGTGCTAAATGGAAAGAATTTAGAAAATTGCCTTCCCAAGCTTTGTTTATTGAACTGTCTGGATTTTACCTCCTTATTCTCCCGTGTTTTGAAGGGAGAAATTCTATTCCCATAAGCACTGAATGAAGCAGAAGGATGGCATAAGTAGTGCTTGTGATTAAGAAAAAATATAGTGCTGAATCATTCCAGGGTCACTTCTAGGGTTTAATACAGATATAACGAAACAGCCTTTTCTGGCTATGTGAACATTTAATCTTAGACTTAACGCTTTCAAGTCCGACTGGATTAAGTGTCTCTTCTGCTGCATGTAGAGTGCAAATGTAGTATCTACAATCAGTGCAGTGTAATGGCACTGCAGTGTCTAGGTTATCAAAGTCACAGAGGACATCCAAAATAACCTGGAAAAAGTCTGTCTACTTCTTACCAGTTATTTGCCTTCTTTTTGTAAGACTTAAGGTAAAATAATGTTGAGGGATGTATACTGATGAGCATGCTCTCAATTTTTTTCTTCTCTCTCTTTTGCCCCTCCAGGCTTTAGACAGAGCAGAGTGTGTGGGTTCTGCATTACTCCACCGAGGCTTCAAACCATCTCATGTTCAATATATAGGAATCTTTTCACAAAACAGACCTGAGGTAATTTAATTCACAGTGTGTGTGTTGATGGTCCTGTTAATTGAAGTGGCCCACTCTTACATCTGTTGCTTTTTGGCAGTGTACTGAGCTTCCCTACTGAGAGTCCATTTGGCATTGGGAAAAGGCTAAAGGCTGAAGTTGTAGACTCACAAGCCATAGACATGGTATCTTTAGCTAAGAATCAAAACTCATCATTGACACAACTGTTAATGTCTTATATTGGTTTTTTAGCTCCTAGAGCTGAATGCAGAAGGCTGGAAAGCAGGAAGAGAATCAGGGAATCCAGAAGAATGTAACTCATTCTCTTCTCTCTCCAGTTTATAGAGGAGGGCTGTTTGATGGGAAGCTAATGCAATGCAGTACTTAATGAATGGAATCACCATTTCCTTTCTTTTAAAAAGTAACATTGGAGTACAGGGTAATTGAAAGTGGTTGGAAGTCACAAGGAGGTTTTAAACCTTTCAAAACCCAAAGAACACTTTGCTTAAATGTTTGGAAGGATAGAAGGTGGCTAAAGCTGATAATTCTATCTTTGCAAGACACCCTGGGCCCAAAGATTCTGGGAGGAAGAACTGCTGATGAAGGCAAAAATTGAAAATTAATTGCAATTTAATAAAGGGGCAGAAAGACTAAAGAAAGTGAAATAATTAAAGAAAATCACTTGACAAAGCAAAATGAACCTGAGACAACTATAGGGATATTTAGATTGTTTAGCTATTGTCTATCCACTTTAACCCAGAAGTGGCTCTAGATTGCTGTTTCTAAAAAATATTATGAAATAGTCAGTAAATATTTCACAGAATGTCAGGGATTGGAAGGGACCTCGAAAGATCATCTAGTCCAATCCTCCTGCCGAAGCAGGAACCTAAATGAGATCATACAGGAAGGTGTCCAGGCGGGTTTTGAATGTCTCCAGAGAAGGAGACTCCACAACCTCCCTGGGCAGCCTGTTCCAGTGCTCTGTCACCCTCACTGTAAAGAAGTTTCTTCTGAAGTATAAGTGGAACCTTCTGTGTTCCAGCTCACACCCCATTGCCCCTTGTCCTACCATTGGGCATCACTGAGAAGAGCCTGGCTCCATCCTCATGACATTTGCCCTTAACATATTTATAAACATCAATGAGGTCTCCCCTCAGTCTCCTCTTCTCCAAGCTAAAGAGACCCAGCTCCCTCAGCCTTTCATATTTATTTTCTACACTTGTTCATCGAATCTATTTAACAGGAATGAATTTCTATGTCCTGTGTTTGTGCTTAGTAGCTTGAGCTGGTACTTGCTGCATTAAGCTAGTTCAATCTAAATCTGTCTTAAGACAGGAGACTAATTCTTAAGTTTTTGTCCAAAATAGGCTGTCCCTCTTGATTTAAGCACTCCCAGCTGGGTGGCATTATCTAGAGCCATCTACAGTGTTGACAAGGTTAGAAGCTGTATCAGTGTCTCAGTCGTGCTGAACAACAGCTTGCTGTTGGATCTCTTCTGCCTTCAGTTTGTCACTGAGGCTTCCCTGCTGTCATTAAACATAAGCTGTATGATCAAGTGACCTTGATTCCCCCTTTCTTCTCTCCAACCCACACCATAAAAAAAATCCCCCTAACTCTAGCCTTGTACAGATGAAGAAAAAAAGAAAAAAAAAAAAACAAACCAAACCAAAACCAAGTAACTTTTTCCAGACTTTTAAGTCTGCAGTAGTTTGCTTTTGGATTTTCCTGATGGAATTCTGGTTCTAACAGCTACAGTTTTATTGCTGTAATAAAAAAGGCTGGGATGTCTCCAACTAGGAAGCTGTTAAATAAGATGGTGTTACAGACACTTCAGTCTCCTGTGCTTATAACATTATGAACTAGAAGTAAAAAAGGAGGCCAGGTGTTGGTGTCCTGCCAGTCTGAACTGTTTCTCTGCAGACCTTTGGGTGCAAAGTCTTTGTCTGCTGGGTCAGTGGGTTTTTTGAAGGAGAACATGGTAGCATGGTATGTTCTTGGATCACAGAGACAAAATGTGCTTGAGTTGCAGTGCTCCAGCAGGCTTTGAGTTGGGTCACGAATGAGCTGGAAAGACTTGTTTAAACCAGCAATTTTAAATCTGGGATTTTCCCTGTTGAAAACTACTGGATGGGTGTTGTGACATCCCTCCCCAACATAATCACTAACCCAGGGAAGAGATTATGTGAAGTTTTTATTTGTCAGTTCAGGGAACAACTACTGGGGAAATCCCCTAATGAGGGAAAATCCTAGCATGTTACTTGCTTAAATTTTCACTAAAAAAACCAATCTTGGATTTATAAATAAAAACATTACTTTCTCTTTGAGTAACTGGAAAACAGATGATCTCTTCCACAAGCAAGGATGTTGTGTTTTGGATTGAGAAAACTGCACAGTGAAATATAGTGTCCCTTAATAGAAGATCAGAGCCATGTCAGAAAACTAATTGAAACTTTGACTGCTGTCTGTCTATATTCAGTACTAGTTGCTTGTTTGGGCTTTGAGACAGAACTTGAGTGTCAAGGTTTGATATTTGTATTTAAATATTTGGCTTTAGAAGCTAAAAAGGAAGGAAAAAGTCTTGGTAGTCCAGAAAATAAAGATGCTGGTTGTTGTATTAAGAATGATGGTGTGCAGGAGTTGTTGGAGGCTGCATCAGGAAGCTTTTATCACCATGTACAGCTTCTGAAGTCTACTGTAGTAGACCACCACCCTATTAAAATAATTGCTAAACTTCAGGCTGATGAACAGAAATACAGCTGCCCCCTTGCTACAAGTACTGGTAGATGCTATCTAGGAAGAAATATCCAGTGGACCCTTTCATAGCTTGTGTAAGTATGCCTGCTTAGACTTAAGATATGTTTAAGGTCTTCAAGAAAGTCTAGTTAGCTGTTAGCTGCCCTTGCAATAGTTTTATAAGAAATTTTCTTTGGACAACAGTTTACCTATTGTGTAAATGCTTTCAGAAAAATTCCCTGTGTTTATGGCTGTCTCAATCAGTAGAGAACTTGCTATAGGAAACCTGCCTGTAATAAACAGTTCATAAAACTGGGATTTAGCAGCTTTGTTAACATAGCCTCTATATTGGATATTATGGAATAACGAGCTGAATGATGTTTGAACTTGTCATCATATAGGGGTGAGGTAGCTGGCTAGCGTCCTGTAAA